CGCCTGGGCCACAGCTATGAATATGGACTGTCTAAGAGCATAGGCTTTGCAGGCAGATGACTAGACTCTGAGCTTCGACTCTCCCCCTCATGAGCTGAATGTTACCTTAATCTTAACTGGGTGCAGGTAACAGAAACCTGTTCAAACTGGCTGAAGCACAAAGAGGGAAGCTATTTGACAGGCAGGAATCTGGGCAGTGTGGGAATCCAAGGAATCAAATCCAAGATTTGGATGGCTTCTTCCCTGGGGTGGGGACATGGCTCCCAGCACAAATCTCATATCCTCACAGTTTCACCATTCCAGAAGAATGGGCTTCTCTCTCCCAGCCCAAGTTACAAAAAAAAAAAAAAGAGAGAGAGAAAGAATCAAAGATGGACTCTAAAGTCCAAAGGTGCCAAAGATGGCACCTTTTGCACTAATCACTGTGACTATCAGGATAAACTTCTAAGATTGGTCAGAGGTAACAGAGTCCTGGCAAGGACTAAATTGCACCCCAAAATGGTTTAACTGAATTCAACAAAGGGATCACCTGTAGAGATATAATCAGGATTGAGGAAACCAGTAAGAGATGGTGGAGTGTCTAGAGATTTGCACCAGTGGGTAGCTATCACACCTCCTAGATCTGAAGGAGGAGGAAGAAACATTGTTACCAGAGCTCAACCAGAGCTGTAACCATGGAGAAACATGGCCACTGGCAGGACTGCAGTGAGGTGGGCTGGGAAACTGGGAGCTAAAACCCCAACCTTTCTCTCCTCTAGCTCTCTGATCTTTTGCTGAGAACGCTTATCCCAATGGCCAAACTTGACCAGAAGCCAGGGGGCAAGGGAGCCGTGGAGGTTGCAGTCTGATGGGTAGAGCTCCCTGAGGCACAGAAGGTCAGAGACTAGATCTGAGGGTCAGCAAAGAGAGACACCAGTACACACATGATGCGGGGGTGGGGTGGTGGGTGTGGATTATGATTGGTACCTCTTAGCAGAAGCACATGTTGGAGTGGGGTGTAGTAATTTTCCAAAATGTGTTGTGTGTTTGGCAGGAGAAAGGGTTCCTGTTATCATGCAAAGTTGGGCTAAAAGATGCTAGGCCAACAAAGCAATAATCTTGAGTAAAATAAACAGGTGCGATCATGCCTACCTCACAGAAATTGATAAAAAAAATGTGTATGAAAGCACTTTGCAAACCATAAGGCTCTGTTCACACATTAAATGTTGTTATTGTTGCTAGACGAAGAATGCCTGACAGTTTAGGATCTGGTTGAAATTTATGGCCAACTTGGGGTTATCAGGACCCTTAATGACTAAGTCATTATAAGCTGAGGCTAAGCTGATATAAAGGGGGGCAATATGAGTCCACTTCCTGATCCTGATGAACTGCAGAGCCTTTGCAAAGAGAAACCCCAATTGCCTGGCCTGCTTTTCCCCAAGGAAAAGGCAGGGAAACTGGGACAGAGTTGCTATGAATTGAGATTTGAAGATTAATCCTAATTTTGTTGATTCTTGGTGTGAGGAGCTCTTTGGAGAAACAAGGGGGAACCTGGGCACCTGGGTTGTATGGGAAGGGTGGGAAATTTGACTTTAGTATATCTTCTCCCCCCTCTAAGCCTCCTCTTTTTCTACCATGAGTGTCCTAATGCAGTCTCAAACTTCTGGTCAAAATATACTTCAGAGAAGGATCTAGGATCAATTTCTTACAGGCACTGTGAAAAAGCAGTTTGTCCTTGTGTTGTTTATATTTTATTTTTAATGTTAGAGAGCCTTTTTCTTTTTTTTCTTTTTTTCTTTTTTGTCTTTTTCCGTGTCCGGCAACGGATCGCAACCCTCAGTGTCGCCCCCGTACTGGACCGGGGACCGGCAACGGGATCGCAACCCTTGGTGTTGCTCCCGCGCCTCGCTCAGCCAGTGAGCGGGAACCGGTCTGTATGTGGGATCTGAACCCTCGGCGGGAGCGCCGCCGCGCTTCCCAAGCGGCGCACTATAGCAGTGCACCACCGGGCCGGCCCAGAGAGCCTTTTTCTACTACTAAATTTCTTGCCTCAGGAAAAAGATAAGGAAGGTATTGTCAAGGTAAAGCTCTTCCCTGTTTCAGGGGTGGCAGATAATAAGGTTGGGGTGAGGACGTGAGTCTTAGAGATGAGCAGGAAGCAGTGCTGTTGGTCTCTATATGGCTCTGTGACCCAATTTCAGCAGGAAACCTCGAGGACAACACCATGTGGAAAGTGAACAGAGTAGTCACGAGGAAGCAATGTCACAAATAGACAATTCATTGTTGTCACTGCTGGAGCCCTTCTATGATATGAATTTCTGTAGCACCTTTGAGGGCACAACCATGACATGATCTATTACATATGTTTGTGTCTGATGACAGTCATCAAAGTGCCAGCCTGAGTACACAAAGCAATTCAGAGCCAAAGCTGAGCCGAGATGGCTGTGTTATTTATCTGCACTAAATACAGAATTGAGAATAAGGGGTGCAGAGTTCTAACCTCCAATCTCTTGCTGAATTACTTATCAGGAACTGTCACACATTTAGTGTCTCAGTTTTTCTTGACACATAAAGGTATTTCAAAGGTTAATAGTAAACAATCCCAACACACCTTGCAAATTCTCAGAGCTATATGGCTTTTTTCCTCCGCAGAGGAAACTCAACTCCACATTCTTTACTACCTAGCACACTGCCCTGGAGGAAGTACCCAATTAATAGATCTGTTGTTGGTAAACCTGAGTTCTGGGTCATACTTGGTTTTAGAAGTTTCCTGCAATGAAGAAAATTAATTGGGAAACCCAGTTGCCAAGTTCTAGTATTGTATGCTCAGTACATAAGACACTTCTATTTTTTTAAATTTTTTATTTTATTTTATCAATATACAATGTAGTTGATTTTCATGTCCCTTTACTGATTCTTCTTTCCCCACCTCTCTCCCGCCTACTACCCATCAACATCATATCTGTTCACTTGTCTTAACAAGTTCAAGGAATTGTTGTGATTGTTGAGACACTTCTTTTAACTTCAGCTTCTTCTTTCTAGAGCCCCCACTGGTCAGAGTAAAACGCAAAGAAACTTTTCCAGGGATTACAACTCTCTTCTGTAGAGCTTGTGGCTTTTACCCCCCAGAAATTTCCATGATCTGGATGAAAAATGGGGAAGAAATTGCCCAAGAAATGGATTATGGAGACATTGTTCCCAGTGGGGATGGAACCTACCAGACTTGGGTGTCTGTTGAGCTGGATCCTCAGAGCAGCGACCTTTACTCCTGTCATGTGGACCACTGTGGCATCCACATGGTTCTTCAGGTCCCCCAGGGTAAGGAAGAGCTCGTGGCTGTCTGGGGAGTGAGACTGAGGAAAGGGGGTGAGCAGGAAGTCATGCCGCATGCCAGGGAGGGGAGGATAACCCAGTGTGCTTTAGAATGGTCTTTTAAATCTGGTTCTCACACTTTTTGGCCCCAGGGCTTCTTTATACTCTTAAAAATTACTGAGGACCCCAAAGGGATTTTGCTTATGTGGGTTGTTATCTATTGCTATTTACTATGTTACAAATTAAAAATAGAAAAATTAAACACAAGAAAACACAAGCACATATTCCATTAGCCATCAGATTGATAAATGAGAAGCAACAGTAAGAAGAAGTGTTGGGTTTCCTGATGATCACATGGACAAAGTCCCAGAAAGTTAACATAGAAGGGAAGTGGGACTTGTGGATTTTTCCTCGTTTGCTTGCTTTCAGAAACAGAAACTATCCCTCTGGTGATGAAAGCTGTCTCTGGGTCCATCATCCTTGCCATTGTCCTGGCTGGAGTTGGCATTCTGGCCTGGAGGAGACGGTCTTGAGGTGAGAGGCATGTGGGAAGATTCTAGGTGCTGCACACCATCTCTCTTCTGTGGCTCCTGAGAATTTAATTTTCTGCACCTTCCACTCTGAGCTCCATTTAGAATTGGGTTGGCCTTCACGTTGGGATCACCTTGGGCAACTCTCTCACCACATAGGGAACACACACCATGGATAATTCTTGCAAGGACAGTGGTCTGTTTTCATAGGTGATGCCTGACATCAACAAAGTAGTATAGCTTCTGTCTGGGTGAACTGTCCCCCTAGAAGCTGGGTCAGAGAAAATACAGTAATCTTGATTTGTCTTATTCCAAACTATATCCTTACTATTAATTACTATTGACTTCTGAGGGAGTATCGCTCTTTGTTTCAAGACTTTAGTCGGTTTTCCCATTTTGACAACCATTTTTTCATCCCAATCATATGAAAGTTATTTTCCTTCTAAATTTATTTTTCAAAACATGAAATGTTCAAGAGTAGATACCTCTGAAAAATGGGACTTGGGGTAAGGAAAAGGAGGAGGAGAAATAGGAGATATATAGGTTCTTATTACTGTGGGGAAAAAAATAAATTCATTCAATAAATATGTATTAAATACCTATTCTGTTCCAGGCACTGTCCTGGTTGCTGGGATATAGCAAAGAACACGAGAGACATGATCCCTGTTGTCATCGAGTTTACAGTCCAGTCTAATAGTGTTATTTCCTGCCTCTAGCTTCACTGGTTGCTTGAGGTGATCACGTCATAATAGTGATGAGACCTGGATCATGGCTTTGAACCCAGTAGGATCAGGATCTTGGCTTTGCTTCACAGATGCAGACCCCAGCCCAAATCAGGTGATACTGTACAAAAGCATGTTATTATATCAAAGAAAGCCAACCCCTTTAGTAGAAAATCATCTCAGAGAGTTAGTGGGTCATTAATGTTTTCTTTATAAATAAAATACATCACTAATCCCAATTCAATTAGTGATAGTGGCTGAAGCAAAAATATTTATTTTTCACAATGGCACACCTTTCTCAAGAATGATACAGACTGTGAATTCCAGCTTTTTTATCTTGTGGAATTTGTGAATTTGAGTCAAAATTTGCCAAGTACTGAAAGAATCTTGACAAAGCAGGCTAAAACTGTCAACGTCTGCTTCTCAGATTTTGCTGAACTTTGCATACTTTATTTCTGAGCTGTGAGGAAATATACATGTATCTGACTAAAAACCTCTTTTCCTTTCAGACAAAAATGGAGTCATCTACCTTCCTACACCAGATAAATGATGTAGCTATCTCTTTTCAAGTTCTCTTTCCTAGGAACCATGGTCTCCTCTGTCCCCCATGGACTCAAGTCCAGTCCTTAAATCTCTTGACCACATCTACCATACATGTGGGTATTATAGGATTGTGCATTTATGGCAGAAAGATAGGAGCCACAAAAAAATTTTTTTTTCTTTATCTCCAAAAAGACTTTCAGCTTTTAGCCTCTTTTGATGGATTCCTTTATCACATCTGGCTTTATATACAGCTCGTCTCCTGATACAACACTTCCTTACAATCCATTTGTCAATGATGATTCATGAGTAGAGTAGAGAATCTCAGAGCTGGAAGGAACCTTCTCATCCGTGACAAGAACTGTTTTCCACAATGCTTTTGACTTGAGCTTCCACTTGACTCCATCCTCCACTTGAGCACCACGTGAAGGGCACCCCAATACATCATCAAATGGCCTTTCTCATTCATCTTCTTTCATGAGAATGTTTATCATGTGAGAGCTTCCAATATTGTGGGCATCATGACTGTGACCCTACAGGTGGGATGGGATCGGACCATCCCATGAGAACAGCCATCAAGTTTCTACAATGGCCTGTAAATGACTTAATCATTTTACACATTTCCTGGCATGGGAGAAAGCAAAAGTGCCCTTTTCTTCACGGCAACTCTGCCTGGTAGCTTGGAATCTTGCAAATATGCCTAGTTGAATCTATGGAGGTGATCTCACCATTTCTGTCTTTTATGAGAAATCAAGAACAATAATTATTAGACATATTTTCACCTCTGGTAGAACTACAGAGACCTGGACCCAACTGAAATATTTTAGTGTAAAAATGATAGTATGTTTATGTCTCAGAAGAGGGTTCAATTCTAATTTCTGTCATTCCTATAGTGGCTTATATAGCTGCGCCTGACTCACTTTCATACATATGCTTAGTCTTCATACACATGCACTGGGAACAAATAAAAGCCCCCTTGTGAATTAACATCCCCTTGATCCACCTAACTCTCCCCAAGCCCCCAAAACATCCTCACCTTATTTACCACTTTTCTTGCTGTGTGTAGCAGCTTGTCCTGGGGATGACTGTCAGTCACACATTCATCTGTTCCACTTCTCTGACCCTGTGTGACTGACTGCACACCTCAGCCTTGGTACTTCCCTGATGGGCCCCAACTTTCACAATTGGCTTTGGACAGGCACCTCAGGCTTGACCTCTGCTTTCCCTTGACCTTGACTGTGACATCTGCCTTCTGGTTTTAATCATCACAGCCATAGATAAAGATACGGTGTGTGCCAGGCTTCTAAGAACCCATCTGCCAGCCTTACTCCTTGGTCCACTCTCCCCACCTAATTCCATGGATTAAGCTCCCACTGTATGTCTCTCTTTTCCAGTGCCTGTTGAGTTGCATAGGAGCACAGTTGTGTTTATTTTGTTTTTAGGGTTGCCATGGGCAAATTCCATACCATCTTTTAAGCAGCATTGCACTGTGAAGAGAATGATGTATGCAAGTTTATTTCTGGAATGGTTTCTTCATATAATCAGAATAGTTGGTATGTAATATATTTTGGGATGGGCACTTAAGGTGATGTATCTATGTAAGTGTCTTGACTCTCCAACTGCACAGTACTCTCATGAAAGACACGAATGGTCAAAAGCCTCTTTGTGCTCCCAGGGCCTTGCCCTGCACCTAACACATAATATGCCTAAATGGATGAAGAGGAGGAAGAGGTAAGGACAAGCATGTAACAACAAAACATTCTGTTATGTACTTGTAGCATTTATGTTTCTCCCTGGGGGATTTTATAATACAAAAAAAGTTATATAGAGAGAGGTGATTTTTTATTTTTATTTTTTTTTGAGAGGTGATTTTTTAAAATCCCTAAAATTTTGCAACCTTCATTGTACTATAGGTGATTCAATTTTCTATTATTTCTTAATAATTTTAGACTTGTTACTGTTTCATTAATCATGTTTGTTGATTATTGATGCTCAGTGATCAGAATCTATGAAATATTTGATACCATAATCTGAACATTAAAAACAAAGAACTGAGCTATCTCAATTATATTTTGGCTTTGAATTGTCTTTACTGAACATTTTAGATCAGGAACACTGGATGAGAAACCTGTTCAACTCTGCTCTTTTTTTTTTTTTTAATTCCGTGACATTTATTATTTGTTTTCTTTTTAAGCACACACAGACCAAGATGTAGTACATTTAAATGACAGTTGTAACAGGGAGGGAAGGAAAGCAGTTTGAATAGCAGTGTGAAAGTCAAGGAAGGTTTTCCTGGGCTAGACTCTTCTGTTGTGGGGCTCCTGAGCTCTCCCATTAGGGGCCTGGCCTCCTTTGCCTGTCTCTTCTTGCTCCCATTATTTCCAAGTTCTGATCCTTCCCTTATTTCCAAAGAACTACTTGGTTTTTCCTCTTCTCTCTATTTTGACCTGAGAGATTATTTTTTAGTCATGAGGAACAGTCATCCACTAGAGAGGCCAGCTGATCATTTTCTGGCAGGGTTCCACAGCACACCTTATTTTTTTATTTTATTTTTTTAAAGATGACCGGTAAGGGGATCTCAACCCTTGGCTTGGTGTTGTCAGCACCATGCTCAGCCAGTGAGCAAACCGGTCATCCCTATATAGGATCCGAACCCATGGCCTTGGTGTTATCAGTACCGCACTCTACCGAGTGAGCCATGGGCCGGCCTTGGTCACACCTTATTTTGATCACCACTGTCTGGGGTCTTTTTCCTCACATTTGCAGGTCAAGTGTCCCTATAGGTAATCAGATGGATGCATAAAGTGGAGTGCCAATGTATTAATTTACTGGGAGAAACACAATTGCCAAGTGGGTCAAGTATTTGTCTCAGCAGGTCAGTGCATGTTCTGGCAGGAAAGTTAAAGAACATGAAAATCACAGCCAGAAGAGTACTTGTTGACCCCAATATTGGTGCAGTAGGACAGATTCTTGCTTTCTAGTTCCCCTTTTCTAGGGTTTGCTATTTTTCCATGCACAATTTATTAAGTCACAGAGGGTTCTCCAGGGAGAAGAAGAGATTCGCTTCTGTCCTATATTCTGGCAATTCCTTGCCTTGTGGCTGCATAAGTCCATTCTTCATATGGTGTTCTCCTTGTGTGGGTGTCTCTGTGTCCAAATTTCCCTTTTTCATAAGAATATCAGTTACATCGGATCAGGGGCTCACCCTACTTCAGTATGACCTCATTTTAACTAGTTACATCAGCAGCAACCCTATTTCCAAGTAAGGTCATATTCTCAGGACTGGAGGTTAGGATTTAAACATGAATTTTGGGGGGACACAATCCCTAACATCCCCTTACCAAACTTCTGTAGGCTCCTCTCAATCCACTAAAGCTCCTTTTGCTCCAGTGGATTATCTAACACTTAGGAAATCAAGATAATTAAATGAATTCATCCTATGGTGAGATAGACATGTAGTCCACCTTAACTCTCTGTGACAGGAGTTAAATCAAATGAATCTGGTGAGATTTTGAATGGTTTGGGGGCTTCTTTGGGAGGGGGCAGATATCCTTTCTTTACATCTAACAGTTAGTTTTCTTTCACTTATAAGGCTCCTCCTGTCCCCGCCCTCCACACCTGCAGGACAAGGGAAAGTGTTTGTGGCCTTCAGCTTTCATCCCTGATGGTAAAAGGAGTCACTTACTGTCCTGTCTGCCCAACAGCTTCTCCTGTGGAGCCTGAGGCTTCAGTGCCTGCCGCCTTTGATTCTCAGTAAGAAGGTCAGGTTCTGCCAGAGGGGAGGTGCTGATGCCTGTCAATAGGTTAATATGAGTTCAGACCCCAGGACCCTGGAGTCCCTGGACACAAGATTTCTGGAAATACTCAGACTGTGGGGCCTCTGCTGAGGAAGAAGCCCCAACTGTGGTTCTGAGGGGAACATGTCGAGGCTGTCACTGTGGCCTGCTTCTGCAATACATTCACTTCTTGCTTCCCCACAGCTGGTGTGGCTGAGAAAAAAGAACTAAATACAACCACTTACATCGGTGATTCATCATGGAGAAAGACAAAACCACATATGCCATTAAATGTGTGTTCACTGTAAATCTTGCTTGATTACAGCACTAAACTCTGCCCATTTATTCTGTTTCTGGCTTGTGAACCAACCGAGGACATGAGCAGGGCCACAGCTAACCCATACAGAACATTTATGCAAATAAGAAAAATGTTCCCTTCCTCTGGGTGGACACTGGCCCAGGCCAGGTTGCATGGCTCGGCCAGCACAACAGAGAGTAGACTTTGACCCTGTTCCCTCAGAGGGATGTCCTTTTGCAGGGCACAACCTTACATGGCAGCTCTGGTCATATTAGAAAATGGGTAGAAATTGGCTGTGTAAGTTAAAGTGAATGAATGAATTTGGAAGGGAGGAGTAATGGTGGAAAAAACAGGTCAATTCATTGGAAATGGTAGAACTAGGAATCCTGTGTGTCTACTATACTATATCCAAACAGTTAAAATTATCTGCGATGTTTTACATAACCCTATAATGGTGTTTATTTATGGCAATCTATTTTTAAAATTTTATGTAATAGTCTGCATGATGCCTTGTATGTAGTAGGAACTCAGTAAATACTTCTTGAATGAACCAGTACAGTATTTTAATTAGGTAGTCTTTGTGTACTGGTGCAAAAGAACAGTGTCATCTTACAGGTGAAGTCATAGAGGAGAAATATCCCATTCAGGATCATATGACATTCCAGGTGCCCAGGATGAATGGTCCAACGACTTGTCTGGATTCTTCAAAGTTTTGAGCAGCATTAAAATTATTTAGTAAACTTTATCTTGTCATTGACTTGTCTGTGAAATTAGGGATCCCAAACATTCTAACAACCCCCCCCCACACACACAAACATACACATATTAATGACAAGGACAGAATTCAGAGGTTCTTATGGGAGACACCTTTTTTCTTGAAGGCTATGAGAAGAGGTGCTAAGAAATGAGTTCTCAGCCACCTTGGGGGCCCAAATATCTGATACCTTCTCTCTATTTTTTAGTAAGTCCACTTAGAGTTGTAATATAGTCTGAATTTTCCTTCCTGTCATCATTTGGGTATTGGGTTAATGAAAGTTCTGAAAATGCAAATGTCATCAATCCTTACAAAGCCCTCATGCTGGGAAGTGCACGAAACTGCTCGTTCTAAGGAGGACTGGTCCTGTATGCTTTTCCCTCTCCCTTTCCTCCTATTTGGTGTCAGTTGAAGCCAGCAGAGGCTTCTGCACTTGTCCCTAGTGGGGGCTGGGTGTAAAAAAATGTCTGGTGCCAGAAGGTGCTGGGTGCGCTGGAACTGGCAGTTGGAGAGGAGGCGCTGCGCAGCAGATGGGAGGCTGAGGTGACCTGGAGCCCCTGGCAAAGCGAGATCAGGTCTGAAGCAAGTGTGTGACAGCAGCCAGGTCTCTGAAGACACACACCAGGGGCCAGAGATGCGGCAC